ACAATCTGGGTCCTCATTTTACCCACCTCGGAAGGATGGAAGGCTGAGTCAACCCTGAGCTGGTGAGATTTGAACCGCTGAACTGCTGATCTAGCTGATCTAGCAGTAGCCTGCAGTGCTGCATTTAACCACTGCGCCACCTTGGCTCATTAGGACACAGCTATAAGAAGTAAAAGTGTGCCTTTTCCCAGGTAAGTTTTATTTTCTGTGAAGTTTTATTCTGTGAAGTTTTATTTTCTGTGAAGACCAAGCATTAGGCGTAATTGTATTGATCAAAGATTTCGCAATATCTTATAATATTGCCTATGTTAGCTATATTTGACTGTCCTGTTTTGAAATACAAAATTCACCCTATTGGCAACACAGCAAAAGACCGGTGGAATGAAAAATGCCTGGGAGCAAGGAAACTCAAGGCATTCTGCCATTGGTACTTTTTAACGAATTGAAAATTTGCAAATATAGCTCACATACGCCTTGTGGATATTTGCATGTCAATTCCTTGCTGGGGAATTATTGTTCTAAAAAGTGTTCCACAAGATTGGCATAGCCAAAACTAATTTTCCGAATTATGCTACGTAGATGTTCTACTCACCTGTTGCAGAAACATCAGATGGCAAGGGAGTTACTCCTTTAAAAAGAAGGGGAAAAGAGGGGAAAAGATAAAGATGAATTATTTTGCTACTACCTCAAATGTAGTGGAAAGTGTGTCTTGGATTAGTTTGATCATATTATGGCGTTTGTGTGTGTGTGTACATGACCTTTAGGGAGTGAACCATTAGAAGGGCAGCATAAATTTCTCTTCACTCCTCTTGCTGGTCTATCATAAGCAGAGCACTAAAAGCTTTGAAGAAGACTTACACAAATACACTTGACCTTGGAACCTTTATCACCTGGATTAAAAGCTCATGAATCTGATGTATTTAGAAAGTGGAAGGCAGGAGGAAAGAACTGAATATTTGAATTTCGTAATCTGTTTAATATGAAACAATTATTTTCCCATTTATGCTGGCAGCACCTGAATGAGGGTGATTCATTCCCAACCCTTTAACCTGGTCTGATTTCTCAAGGCTAAAGGGAAACAATGAAGAGTGTGTGTATATTTTGCAATGTCCTTCCTTCTGTACCTACTTCACAAGGTTNTTTTGTGTGCTTTTGCATTGTGTGTGAGTCAGTTGTGTGGCTTTTGTGTTATTTGTGAAGTGTGAAAGTTGGTTTTCGAGTCACATGACCATGACCACCAAGCCACGCCCACCCAGTCACATGACCACCAAGCCATGCCTACCAAGCCACGCCCACAGAACCCCTAGGGAAAGTTTTTAGATTTCACCACTGATCAGTAGCATGCTTACCTCCTACATCATAAAATGCAATGAAGCCTTGACCTTCTGTATTAGAATGTCTGTATAGTACCAAGGTCATCATGCCTGAATAAGAGTAAAACGTCTTTTCTCCTTCGCATATTTTCCCAAGTAGGGTTGATGTCTGTGGCTCTCCCTTATAGACAGCAATATATTCACTAGCACAGTCTAAGCTGAAGAGAAAAAAATACACAAAAATAATCATAGACCGGGCAACAGAGCGTCATTGGGGGGAAACACTCTTGTTTCCCCTTTCATGCAAAAAAGCCAATGAAACAGCAGGGATTGAAATGGCTGAATGAGATTTGAAAGAAAAATGCTTACTTTATATAATCAAGGTTTATTCTTATTGGATAGTACTCAGGGGAGTTAATTCTCCAGACACAAGTTAGCATTCTATTGCCTGCAGCATAATATGGGCCAAAAAATGAACCTGAAGCATCCGAAAACGAGCCACCACATGCAGGTTCAGCTATCAAAAACAAAACGAAAACAGTAGAATGTCATATTTCATCATATATTAAATTATATAATATTTATTGCACAACTATAAATTTTATGGTGAAAATGTATACATCAGCTTAATTTAAGAGTTGCGAATTTAATTTAATGTTAATTGATTAGTATTTTGGCTTCTGTAAATATTTAGTGAAATGTATCATATCTAATATTTCTTAGCAAAAAAACAAGTACCAGCTGCTCTAGCCTCTGAAGCTGTTCCTATCAGCACAGAGGGTTTTGTAATCTCATGTTTCATTTTTTTTAAAAAAATTATTTATTTATTTATTTATTTATTTATTTATTTATTTATTTATTTATTTATTNAAGGGAGGCTTACCTGGGCCATATCCATTGTTTAGGTTAGCTTGGAGTCCCATCTTTGGGTGCCAAATGTTGGAAGAAATGTCCTTCTGGGTTTGGCTCCAAGTGGGGAAAAAGACACTGGAGACATGGAGGCTGCTTGGAAAGATGGTTTAATGGTGGACAGGACCACATGGTTTGAGTCCTGAACAGAAAAGGGGGATCACATGCTTCAATGTTGGGTGAAGAAGAAGAAGAGAAAGAAGGGCTGAAAGTTCCTGGCTTTATACTCTCTGTTCGGCCCCACCTCTCTGTTTCCTGTTCTTGTGTAAGAAATGTATTCTGATTGGTTGTCAGACTCCCATGGGGCCACGTTTGAGTTTCCAGATGCCCTGTGGTGAGTTTCTGTGGAAGACTAATACTATCATGCCTTAATCCGATCACCCTGGAGCTGAAGGGGGGAAACTCATTGTTACGTAGAATAGACTGGCTGGGGCATTTTAATGGCCCATTAAGAAAGTGGGGGCTATTAAGAGCAAGTCTGTTTCCTGCCTAAAAACATGTTTCTCCATTTCTGATCCAAGGAAATGTAATATTCTGCCTTTTCAATATTTCCCAGGATATTTCATTTTTCTAGGAGGGGGCTGGGTGCTAATTTCCTACAGTCCCTTTGCCACGCAGCCTATCTACTTGCTTCGCCGATGCCTGCTCGCTGGGAAGTCTCACTTAGAAGCCTTGCTCAGAATCCACGCTGATGGCCACTCACTCAAAGAGGTAAGCATTGCCGGTTGAGGTCTAGTGTGTCCCCCGCCCCCCCATCCCCAGGCTCATGAAGTTCGTGCAACTGCCAGGGATTGGTTGCAGCCTAGTGTGCTGCCCCCCCGCCCCAGGTCCCCAGGCTTGCCTGCCTGGCCTGGCTAAACTCCCTAGCTAGCTAGCTCTTCGGACCGAATCCCGAGCCATTAGTCGCAGAACTCCTGCCTTGCTGTTCTCCTGCAGCTGCTGAAATCCCTCGACTGCAGCCTGCAATCCATCTCATTAGCTGGCAACTGAATCTGCCTGCCTGACTGCCTGACTTGTGCTTCAATTGGGTAAGTAAGTGGTGAGGGTTTTTTTTACTTTTAAAAAAAGAGGTTACTGGGGGGAGGGGGGATTTTGTTTTCTTTTAGGAAATAACCATTTAAAGCTTATAAAGTTTTAGCTGCTTTTGTATTTTTAGATTTATAAAGCTTTCTGAGATTTTGTGTGTTTCTGTAGTGTTTCACACTCACTACACAAACACACAAAATCACACCAAGCTGTATATGACGTTTTGTGCTTGTGATACTTGGTTTTTTGAGTTCTCTGTGACTGTGAGTTTCTTGCTTGTTGTTGCAGGGGACATTTTGTGTGCTTTTGCATTGTGTGAGAGTTGCACAATGGTATTGTTTTTGTGATAAGTGTGAAAGTTGGTTTTTGAGCTCTTTGTGGCTCTGTGAGTTTCCTGCTTGTTGCAGGGACCATTTTGTGTGCTTTTGCAATTCTGCTTGTGCAGTGGGTTGGACTAGATGAACTGCAAGGTCCCTTCCAACTCTGTTAATCTGTTAGATCTGTTGCAGGGGCCATTTTGTGTGAGGTACAGCTGCTTTTGCATTGTGTGTGAGTTGCACAATGTTACATTGTGTGATTGTTGCACAGTGTTGTGAGTCAGTTGTGTTGTTTTTGTGTAAAGTGTGAAAGTTGGTTTTTGAGCTCTTTGTGGCTCTGTGAGTTTCCTGCTTATTGCAGGGGCCCTTTTGTGTGCTTTTGCATTGTTCCTATCACTGGTCCTCAGCTAACAAAGCTCTTTTTTTCCCTTTTGCAGTAACAGCCTTTACCAGCAAGGGTGAAAAAGCAACAAACTTTGGTTGGTTTCTTGGCCAAGAAACCAAAACTGTCACAACCATCAGAATTGGCCTTGGATGATCCAAAACCATCCCAAGCACCACCACTTCCACCACTTGAAGTTGGACTCAGAGAAAGCAGCAAGCTAAGTATTTAGTCACCTGAGCCCAAAGTTGAAATCATTCTCCCTGACTGTTGGAAATTGCAACAGTCCAGCAACTTCCAAGAAATGTATCTGGGATTGGATGTGTCAAACAAGAAATTAGGTTGCAAGTACTGTGCAAAACATGACTTTGCAATAGAGAGTGGTATTCATGTGTCCAAAGAATGGAAGCATTTCAAAATTGAGCCAGCTGGGAAAAATAAGGAAGTGCAGCAGGCATCTCTACGGAAGAAAACGAGAGGACATTTCACATTGAAATCACACACCATTTGTAGAGACAATGGCAAACAAGGGGAGCAGAATGCCATAACAAAAGATATCTGGAAAGTGTTTATACACCATTTCTAAAATGTTCAAAACTGTTTACAGCCTGGCAAAAGCATGTAGACCAATTTCACATATAGAAGAATTGATAGAGTTGCAAACTGAAAATAGAGTAGATCTTGGAATAGGATTGCATTCAAGGCCAACAGTTGTGAAAATAGTTGAGTGCATTGCTAGGAAAATTAAAACCGAGATGTTTTCCAGCATCATTGCACAGAACCTGAAAATATGTTTGATCATTGATGAAGCCTCAACGGTATCCTGCAAACCAGTTTTGATAGTTTTCGTGAAAGTTGAGGACTCAGAGAACCCACCAACAATTTTTGTTGAACTTGTTGAATTGAAGAAACAAGATGCAGAGACAATATGTAGTACAGTTCTGGAAAGTTTACATAAGGTTGAGTTTACCCAGAACTACCTACAAAAAAATTTAATAGCGTTTTGCTCTGATGGTGCTAGCGTTATGCTTGGGAGAAAATCTGGAGTGAGCACTAGGATAGCAAAAGAGTTTCCAAACATCATCATATGGCACTGCTTGAACCATCGCCTCCAACTTGTGTTAGATGACGCCATAAAGGAAATAAAACAAAATCATTTAAAAATATTTATTGATAAGATATGCTCTATTTTTCAGCAATTCAATAAGAACCAAATTGAACTTGACGAAATATCTGAAGAACTTGACATTATCATTGTAAAGATTGGTAGAGTTTTTGGGCCAAGTTGGGCTGCCTGTAGTTTAAGGGCAACCATAGCTGTATGGCGTGCTTATCCAGTGCTACATCAGTATTTTCATGCGAATGCAAAATACTCAGGTATGGCTGTCTGTCTGGAAAATAAATATTTTTTTAAATGATTTGGCGTTGATTGACATTCTGGAAGAAATCTCACTTTTTTCAACTGCACTTCAAGCAAGCAGTACGGTCATCATAAAGGCTGAGAAACTGGTGAGAAGATCAATGAAAGCATTTGAACTGCTTGCAAAGGAAATCATCGATTTGTTGGACTTCATCAGGAAAGACTTTTAGGAAGCATCATAACAAATTTTCAGAAAAGACTAATGGACTGTGAACATTTAAAAACAGGTAGCCAATTGCAAGACACCACGAATAAATTACAATTTCTACATTTTTTGGTGCCAGACTACTGGGATATTTCAGAAGTAGTAGTTCCATGCACAGCAGCTGAGGAACAACTGCACACATTTGGTGACATTTTCAATTACAACATTAACATCAATGACTGCAGAGATTTTTGGGAGAATGTGTTAAAAGATTTGAAGAACTATGCAATTCCTGACAGTATTAAAAAAGCAAAAGATATTGTCAGAACAATTGCTGTAAGTTCTGCAGAAGCGGAAAGCGGTTTTTCGAAAATGAACTTCATATGTTCAGAGAGCAGAAGTCGCCTTATCGTTTCTAATTTAACCAACCTCATGACAATCAGTATTACTGGTCTACATCTTCCAAAATGGAACCCAATTCCTGTAGTGAGAAAGTGGCTATGAGAACGCCATCACTCAGCCGATGATCCCAGAATCAAGATGAAGAAAAGTGGAAGTGAGGAGAGCGTCAATGAGAAATCGATGTGGAAAACTTTTAAAGTGAAATAAATAAATATCTATTTATTTTTTATTGTTTTAATTGTATTTTTATTGTATTTTTATTGTGTTTTTCATTGTATTTTTTATTATGTATTCCACCCAGGGTCATTTGTTGAGATGGGTGGCTATGGGAATAAAAAAACAAGTTAATGAAATCCTGTTCTTCAAAATATAATAAAACCAGCTCTGCCACATCTAGAGACTCTCCTGCTGATAAACAGAGCCCATAGTTTCATCCCAGAGTCCTATTCTCATTATACCACTTTAGAAACAGCTGTTGCTATTTTTATCCTTTAAACAGAATATTTCACTTCTCTGTCCTTCTGACAAATAATGTCAGGCATGAAAGACCAGGTCCACACAAATCAGTCCAAATTGATTTATTGCTAAATAGCCTACTCAGGACTCTTCTCAACTAGCAGATAGCACTTGCTTGGAATTAGATAAGGGTCAGGGGTGGGTTTCAATTTTTTTTACTACAGGTTCTGTGGGCATAGCTTGTTTGGTGGGCGTGGCTTGGCAGACATGTCACCGGGTGGGAGTGACTTGGTGGTCATGTGACCAGGTGGGAGTGGCTTGGCGGTCATGTGACTCGGTTGGGAGCGGCCAAGTCGATGTCACTGAATTCTTTGCCCCAATTAATGACCTACAAAAAGGAGATATAAAAAAAGAAATTTATTATTTCGTGCATTTACTACTTAAGTAAGAATAAAATAAGTATACAAAAAAAAAATAAAAGAGCTACACACTTACAGAAGAAAGATGACTGTCTTGTATTTGCAAAAAACTGGAAAAATGAGAAAATTCCAAAACAGGAAGAAGTTATTCGAAAAATAATGGAGTGTGCTGAAATGAGTAAATTGACGGAACGACTACATCTTCAATGTTCCAGTAATCTGGCTCCAAATAAGTGATAAATCATAATTTATTTGAGTCTGGCAATTGGCTACCTGTTTTTAGATGTTCACAATCCATCAGTCTGTTCTTCAAATTGGTTATGATGCTTTCCAAAAGCTTTTCCCGAGGAAGGGCAAGAAATCATTGATTTTGAACAAATTTTATATTTTGGAAGGCTTCTTCCATCAACCTTTTCTTCATATGGGCCCTTTCCCCCCCTAAACATTTCAAATGCTTTAATTGATCTCAGCACAAATTTTTCGGCCTTGATGATGTCTGTATTTCTCCCTTGCAGGGCATTTGACAGAAGAGATCTCTCATTTAGAATGTCAATCATCAGGGCCAAATCAGTCAAAAAATATATATTTTCAAAATGGGCAACCATACCTGGATATTTTTCATTTCCATGAAAAAACTGATGTAGCACTGGATAAGCACGCCACACAGCTGGGTTTGACCTTAAACTACAAGGCAGCCCATCTTGGTCCCCAAAGTCTGTCAATCTTCCATGCCCAGTTGTTCAGAGATTTGGAAAAGGTCCATCTGGCTCTAGCAGGATTTATGGAAAGTGGTGTGTATCTTGTCAAGGAATATTTTGAAGTGGTTCAGTTCATTGATGTCCTTTATGGAATCATCCAACACAAGTTGGAGGTGATGGTTCAAGCAGTGCCAGATTACAATGTTTGGGAACTCTTTAGCTATTTTGGTGCTGACTCCAGATTTTCTCCCAAGCATAATACTGGCACCATAGGAGCAGAATGCTATTAAATGCTTTTGCAGATATTCCGTAGTAAACCCAACTTTATGTAAGCTTCCCATCACTGAAGAACATATGGTCTCCGCATCTTGTTTGTCCAATTCCACAAGCTCAACAAAAATTGTTGTTGGGTCATCTGAATCCTCAACTTTTACAAAAACTATCACAACTGGTTTGCATGATAGTGTTGAGGCTTCATCAATGATCAAACACACTTCCAGATTCTGTGCAATAATGCTGCCAAACACGGTGGTTTTAATTTCTTTTGCAATGAAATCAACTATTTTCACTACAGATCTCCATGAATACAATCCTACTCCCAGATCTACTCCAAGTGTAGTTAGCAATTCTACCTCTCCTTCTATGTCTGAGAATGGTTTACATCTTTGTGCCAGACTGTAAACTGTAAGAAATACTATACAAGTAGTAGATAAATGTTTTTCAGTTGACCTATCTACTGATTTGTTATAGCATCCTGCTCCCATTATTTAATGTTGTCTCTGCAAATGGTGTGAGATTTTGATTTAAAATATTCCTTCATTTTTTTCCTGAGAGATGCTTGCTACACCTCCTTACTTGCCCCTGCTGCCTCGATCTTGAAATGTTTCCATTCTCTGGAAACATGAATGCCTTTCTCTAATGAGAACTCATGTTTCGCGCAGTACTCACAACCTAACTTTTTGTCTGAAACTTCCAGCCCATCATACTTCTCTTGAAAGTTTCTGTATCAGTTGAGGAGATTGACTTGCTGCTTTCTCCAACTTCAAGTGGAGGATGTGGTGCTTGTGATGGTTCTGGATGCAATTCTGTTGTATCTGATTGTTCCAGTCTTGGTCTCTTGGTGAAGAAAGAGGTCAAACTACTTTGCCTTTTCATCCTGTTAAATACTACTACTGCAAAAGAAAAAAAAAACAATATTGTGCTTTGGACTTGATTGTGGTTGTAAGCTGAGGACTACAGGTAACAGAAGGGATCTCTGTTTTCACCCAACAATGTACACTCTTTTCAGGAAGGATGTCCCCCAACAAACAGGAAAGATATAGGTTTTCATCTAAGAAGTTAGAGCAAGAAGAATGAATGTGATAGGTAGATTCACAGAGCAATACAGATTTCTTTTTGTGAAATTTATTCCTCAGTTCAAAAAACAGGAATATATGAATTAGGTTCAGTACTTAGGTTAGTCCAAGTAGCTATTCAAAGAGTTAGTGGTGTCATGGTTAGAAGCAATGGTAAAGCAAGATATGGATTTAAAACCAGAAATATTTTCTTGGGTATTTCAAAGGGAATACATATTTAATTTTACACATGTTAACAGCTGCTAGAATTGTCTTTGCACAACAGTGGGAAAACAAAGATATGAAAATGAATAAAGAAACTATTAGAATGTGCATGAAGGAAATAAATAATAAGTTACTCTTTTATAAAAGTGTTGAATGTATCAATAAGGTGTGAGATTCTTGCTACTGTCTCTTGCTGTTGCAAAGTAACCACAAAAATGTAATCAGTAAAGACAATACGTGATGACTTGCTAAAACTCCCCTGAAAAACAGGAACATAAGTCTGAGACAAGACCACCATTTGGTGAGATAGGAACATCCACCGCCTAGGGCAAAACTACAAGGAAACAAAGATAATGTGAGATAAAAACCCAATTATTAAATCCTCAGAACACAGAGAGAAGTCTGATTCACAATTCAAAAAGGTTTATTTACAGAAAAATAAAAAGTGTTTGCAAAGGCGGCCTCCAAGTCTCTTCCCAAGTGGATCAAATACAAGGAGAGCAAAAAATAGCATTCAAACAATACATTTTATGCACTCTACTCCTAAGAAACTCTCTCCCTCCTACTCATTCATTTACGTTGCTTCTTTCGTCATTCCATAGTCTAAAGGGTCAACTTGACAATTTCTTGAGAGGCCCCTATCTTATTTGGTTTTGTTTCTGGTTCCTTTCGTCTGAGCAGATGGCTTCCTATCTAACTTGTACGTAGGCGCCTGTAAAGAGCTTGGAATAACGAAGGTTATCTTGTCATGTTTACTGAACACATTTTGTGGTTAGGAAAAGCACAGTAACTTATTATACATTTTAGGCAAGAATATAATGGCTTATACATTTAACATTGTAAAAGAATACAAAAGTAACCTTTTAACATTTTACAATATATATATTTTATTACAAAATTTAAATTCT